GCTCTTTTCTTCAACCACTGAACCTTTCTTCCCCACAAAACATTCTTCTTTTTAGTCAAAAGCACCAGCAGCATCTCAGCCATGTGAAGGGTAAAATGGTTCTTTGTTTCAGGCTGACCCCTTTATTATTTTGGTACTGGAGATTGAACCACTGAGCTATATTCCCAGTTCTTTTTTTTTTTTAATTAAGTTTCAAGACAACGTCTCTGTAAGTTATCCAGGGTAGGCTCAAACATGCAATCCTCCTGCATCAGCCTTCCTCAATGCTGGGATTATAGGGCTGTACCATTGCACCTGAGTTCTTCCTTTTTAAAATTTAGGGTTTATTTTTTCAATTATACTTGCATAATTGTTTAAACACTCAAAATCTTTCAGTTCTAGTAATTTTTCTTGATTTTTTTAAAAATTCAATTTAAATTTTTTTAAAATTTTTTTTTGAATTTTTTCTCTTTCCTTGGTCCTTTCCTTCTTATTCTTTCTGATACGTCTGTTATTCCATTATTGATCCTTGTGAACTGATCCTGATTTTGTCATTTTTCTATCCTATTTTCCAATTTCTTTGTCCCATTGCTGCATTTTCTAGCTTTCCTCCACTTTATTTTACACATTTCTATTGAGTTTTTCATCTTTGCTACATTATTCATCTATAAGAGGTATTCACCACTTAATTTTTTAATGTACTGTCTTTTTTAGTCTATTGATAGATGAACCTCTTCACTGTTTCATCTGTTTTGTGTATTTGGCCTCTCCCCAAATGCCTGCCGTCCGTGCTGTGTGGGAGTGGTCATGTAGAAGCCCTATCACATGAGGTTTGCAACTATGGGCTTCACGGTAACTGGGCTTGGGTGAATAACTGGGTAGGGGGGAACCTCCAGTGTTAACATCTTTAGACCTATTCTCTTGGGATTAAGTACCCAGAAAAGTCTCCTCTAGGCTCCTGCCCAAAGTCAGAAGTGTTCTGGGAGCAGAGGTAGGGGAAGGAAATAGATTTCAACATTCAGGATATGAATATCCAAATTCCCTTATTTTCAGTTCCCATCCTCAACTGTGTGTCTCTGAGAGTCTGAAGATCCTGTTTTACTCACAGAAATGGATTTTTTCCACCTGCCATAATGGGGAAGGACAATGGTTTAGTTAAATGGAATGAGTTGTAGGATCTGCAGATCAGCTGTTTCTTGAAAAAGCTTTCCACCACCTGTCCTGTGGCACGGGGTGGTACTTAATACTCCAACTCTGAGCCTTCAGGGGGATCCACCTTGTAAATCAGACCACTTCTCAGCTTTCCTCATGTTAGATTAAGAATTTAGCTTTCTTGGTTCTGCCAAATCAATTAATCACCTTTCTTCAAATTCAGCATTGTTTCTTCCTTTTCCGTGTCCTTGTGTTTATTGCTCTTGATTTTGGTCCCTTATACTGTTGGTGTGTGCGGTGTCTCGAGGGGAAGAAGCCAGACACAGCATTCAGCTGAAAGGCATGGATTCCCCCTTTTCTATTCCGATCGCACTGGCGGTTAAGGGATGTCTGCAACCAACTCTTGCCAATCTTTCTTCTTATCCATCTGGCCCTTCTATTGCTACACAAGTTACTTTCTTTGTCAGTTCTCCACTGCCTGTAGAACAGAATTACTCAGCCTGGCATAATCAGACCTTAAAGCACTTTTCTACTGTGATGTATTGCATCACTCACCACCCATTCTCAAAGCTGCAACAGTTTTTAGAGTACACAGTCATTGCCTTCTGTAGCCAGGACAGGAAATAAGTCATGTGACAGGATGTTGGAAGCAGACTACCCCCATTAACTCAGCTCTGCTACTTTACCAGTTAGATGATCTTGGGCAGGTTGCTTTATCTTCTCATCTGCACAACAGGGCTTGTAATAGTACCATGGGGATTTGAAAAGCACTTTAAAACAGTGGTTGGCATCTAGGAAGTGCAACGTATTAATTATAATTCCCCGCACATCTGTCTACCCCAGGAGATTATCAAGCTCTGGGAGAAGAATCTTGGCTCATTTATTGAACATTTGTGTTGTGCCTATGATGTGACAGTTCCTAGCCACTAGAGACAATGTAAAAAGAATTTGGCAAATGGAAAGACTGTTGACTAATGATTCAACTATAATGTAACAAATGCTATATTCCATGAAAGGGAAAGTGTGGAGAACACAGGGTGTGTAAAGTCTAATGGTCCCAAATAAATGAGGAAGGCTTCCCAGGTCTAACACTTGGTATAGGCTTGCTGAAAGCATATGTAGGGACAAAAGGCTGTGCTGTTAAGAGCAGTGGGTGGGTGGAGAATCCAGGTGAGGCTGGAGAAGCATGTTAGGCCCACCGTACAAGGCCTTGTATAACGTGCTCAAGTCTACACACTGACTGACTAATCTCATGACGCTAGCACACTGGGTGTGCTGTGGACAATTCTAAGGTGTCAACAGCAATTTGTTACTAAAATAGCTGAAATGTGGCTGCTTCACATTTTAAAAATAAGTTAGAAAACACTCCCTAAACAAGGTAGAACAAACAAGCCATAAACAAAAGAATACAAATATTAGGATTCTGTTTATATAAAAGGCCAACACCCAGTAAAGTTAACTACATTGTCTCAAGTCAGGATACAGTTACCTTTAGGGGTAGTGACTGGAAGGAGACGCAAGGGGATCTCTGGAGGCCGCTAATGCTGTTTTCTGACCTAGATCTTGGCTTTACAAGTTTGTTTTATCTGGAGAATCAACAAGCCATAAAAACATACACACACACATATTCCTGTATCTCTTATGCTTTGAAATACAGCACATGGAGCAGGTTTTTGACATTTGTGGTTACTTTCACTGGGTGTCCACTGGTTACTTGCTGGGCAGATAAATATTACTTATGTTATTTTATTAGATTTAATTTGGAAACACCTCCTAGATATTCTGAATGGCCAGTGACAGACACCACACTGCCTGGGGTCTTCGGCACTAGTAGGGCTTAGGGTGTGTGTGTTATGAACTGACTTATACTCCCGAATTAGCTGTTCATGTGAAAGTTTGAAACACCAGCATTCAGCATACCTGTTATATTGTCCCCCCATTTTACTTAGAATGGTTAATGGTTTCTTATTAACCTTATAAAGAAATGTAGTTAAAAAAATCTGCATGAGTTATAATCCATTCAACAATATGTATGCTTAGGGACACATTCTGTTTTTTCTCAAAAAGTTATTTTCATTAAAAATAATTTATCCAGCTAAAAACAAAAAAGCACAAAAAAGAAAAGTCAAATCTTTTACTTTAGACTGGTTTCTCAAGGCCATCACTATTATGACTCTTTTACATATTCTTATAGACATGTTTTATACATAGTCAGCCTTCTGTATTGTGGCTCAACCAATAGGAGGCTGAAAATATTCAAAAAATTGTGTCTGTATTGAACATGTAGAGACTTTGTTTTTTGGTCATTATTTCCTAAACAACACAGCATGGTAACTATTTACACAACACTGATACTGTATTGGGCATAAATAATGCAGGAGGGTGTATAGGTTAGATGCAAATAGTACACCATTTTAATATAAGTGATTTTATATAAGGGAACACTATATGGATCTTGGTGGTGGGAAGGTCTTAGAACCAATTCCCTGTGGATAGCAAAGTATAACTGTATAAATATATGTGGATTACTCCTGCCCCATCACTTTCCTTAAACTAATGGAAGCCCAGTATATTTCTATCTCTAGCTCTGTCTTTCTTTACTGGAGATGTTTTCTATCTACAAACAGATACAACTAATTCTTTTTTTTGGACCTTGTGCTTGCAAGGCAGGCAGCAGAACCACTGAGCTAAATCCCCAGCCCTACAACTAATTCTTTATAGGTACATAGTATTCCAATACACACACACATTCTGACTTAACCAGTTATTTCTACTCTTTTGCTTTTATCAACAATTGGATATATATTCTTTGATGTGCCTTTAAATTTATGACACAGACAAGTACTGTAGTGTGTACACCTATAGTCCCTGTTCCTCAGGAAGCTAAATCAGGATTGTGTGAGCCCAGGAATTATAGACCAGTTTGGGCAACATAAAAATAAGTTAATTATGGTAGAAACTGACTCAGTGTATATCCTTATCAAGTATGTAACCAAACCTTTTGACTTTTGCATCTCTATTCAGTTAACATGGACTGTTTTGTGTGTGTTTGGCAGTGCTGGAGACTGAACCCATGCCCTTCACACTGAACTACATCCCAGCCTTTTTTCTACTTTTATTCTGAAACACAATCTTGCTAAATTGCAAAGTTTCCCAGGTTGGGCTCCAACTTGAGATTTTTCTGCCTCAGCCTCGCAGAGTGCTGGGATTACAGGTGTATACCATCACACTTGGCCAACACAGACCGTTTTGATCACTATACACGATCAAATATTAAATCAAATCTGTTATGCTTTAATGTCTAGTAGTTTTAGTCGTCCTTATATGTAACCACAAAAGGGTCATTTACAAAACATTTTAAGGCCATTTTAGATTAATAACAGATTCATCAGCACAATACAGTTGCTACTCATGGTATACAAATCTAATAAACACGAAACTTGGACTTAGCACTTTTTTCAAAAAAGACAAAGTAATTATTAATATCACAACTATGTTGTTTTTTTTTGAGAAAAGGTTGTACTATGTTTCCATGTTGGCCTCAAACTCGCCATTCTCCTGACTCAGCTGCAGAAGTAGCTGATCATGAGAGCAATGCATATCAAAACCACAAAGAGATAACATACTACTCTCCTTAGAATGGCTATGACCAAAAAGACAAAAAAAATAAAGGCTGGAGAGAATATGGAGAAAGAACTCTTATACTCTGTTGTTGGGAATGTGAATTATTAGTAAAGCCATTACAGAAGATGATCATGTGGAGTGTATAGTTTTTCTCCAAAAACTATTAACAGATCCACTATATGATCCAGCAATCCTACTACTAGGTATATATCCAAAGGAAATTATATCTGTATCAAAGAGATATCTGCATGTCCATCCATGTTTATTCGCAGTACTATGTACAACAGTCAAGAAATGGAAATCAATCAAGACATTCATTGATGGAAGAATGCATAAAGGAAATATGGAACTCTATATATACATATATACACACATAAAAAATGGAATATTGTTCCACCAAAAATAATGAAATTCTGTCACTTGTAACAACATAGATGGAACCAGAAGACAGTACGTTACATGAGGTGAGCCAGGCACAGAAAGATAAACCCCATCTATTCTCACACTTTCATGGGAGCTAAAACAGTTCATCACATACAAGTACTGTAAAACAGTCAATAGAACCTAGGAAGGGTAGGAGAAAGGGGAGGTTGGATAACAGGTACCAAAGTATCCATAGGTAGAAAATTAGTTCTAATGTTCTATAGCTTAGTAGGATAACTATGTTCTTTAGCAACATATATATTTTTAAATTATTTGAGCAAGAGTTTGAACATACATACATAGTCGATAATATTTGAAGACTTGGAAATGTTAATTACTCTGATTTGGCTATTAAACATTCTCTAATGTATCAATTATAATGCTATACCCCATGAAATACAAATATATATATTTTTGGGGAGTACCGGGGATCGAACTCATGACCCTGCACTTTCGAGGCAGGCAGCAGCACCACTGAGCTAAATCCCTGGCAAAGTACAAATGTTATATGCCAAATTTTTAAAAAATTATGTCCACAGAGTATATGTGCATGTATATAGAGCAAATTGCCACTCCTAAAATTTTTTTTCTATCACTTTACATGTAAATACCTCAGAAATAATAACTATACTGGGTTAGTGTCTTCCCAAAATTCATGTCCAACTAGAGCCTGTGAGTGGGATCTTATTTGGAAATGAAGTCTTTGTATATATGATCAAGTTAAGATGAGGTCAGACTAGATTAGAGGGCCCTAATGTCATGATTGGTGCCCTTGTAAGACAAAGTGGACACAGGCATTCCCACGGGGGAGAATGTCATGTGAGGTACAGAATGGGGTGATGCAGCTACAGGCAAGTGACACCCAGATTGGCTGGCAACTACCAGAAGGAGGGAAAGACTCCTCTATGGCCTTGTGAGAAAGCATGCCCTGCCAACACCTTGATTTTACTCTTCTAGCCTCCAGAACCATTAGAGAATAAATAAATTTGAGCTAAGGATGTGGTAATTTGTTATGGCAGCCCTAGGAATCTGATACAATAACCATTCCAAATTTTGTGTAAGTTTGAACTACCATGATTTGCAAGCAACACAGAACTGTATCAAGGGACTTGTCATTTGATGTCTCTTTTTCAGGCACTATGCTGCTTCTAATAAGGCAAAAGAAAGACTTGATTTAGAAAACCTTTTTGCAGTGTTTTTCTTTTTTAAACTATTATTAATATGCAGTTTATATTAAAGAAAAACAATTCCTGGAATAAAATGTCACATTTTACAAAAGGCTGGTACTTTTATTATATATTGCTTCTATACGTTTTAACAACTTTAAAAGTGCAGCTGGGTTATATGGGAAGAGATTTTTCTTTTGCAAACGGTAAATGGCATCTTGTAGCTCTTCAAAGCATTTGACTATTCTGTAAAATATTCCTTCTTCAGCGACAATATTATTTGGGGCTACTTCACAGTCAATGGAGAAAGAAGCAGTAGATTCTTTTGGAACCAGAGGCCTTGACTGAGGCTTTAGGCTAAGTTCTTTTTTATCCTTACTTGCCCCAGCTAGGTCTTGAATTTTCTTGCTTGTTTGTTGGTAGGAAGATGTCTGCTGGTTGATTGCTAAATACTGGTCCTTGGATTCTGTTTCAGAATCATCAGAGCTGTCATAATCTACCAGACTCTGAGAAGCCCGAGGAGAAGACAAACCATGATCCCTCATGGTGTGGGTCTCACTGGACATCACAACCTGCTTGAGAGGTTCAGAAGAATCCCCAGAAGCCCAGGGAATGCAGGTGTGAGCACGTATGTGACTATCAGGAGCAGTCAAACAATGAGGTGGTGTTTCGTTGCTGCTTCCGTCTTGGACAAGCGAGGGGACACAATCACAAATATTCATGCCACATTGAGATTCAGTTGCATCAAAGACCTTGCAAATGGTGAAAAAATGATCCCAGTCTTTCTGTAGTAACTTTAAATATCTAACAAAATATTCAAGAAAACAGGTCTCTGATGAAATCAAAAAGTCAAGAAGAACTGTAGAATCAAATCCTATATTTTTTAAGAAGTATATAAAAATACAGTGAGGATTGTAGCCATTTTCATGTGTTTGACGGATCCACATTGCTTTTTCTTCGGTCAAACTTCCAGTAGCCTCATATTCTCTAAAAATGAAGATAATGTAACAGATACAATTCATAAACCCTAAATTTACCTATCCGATTACTTTTTAATCTATCCATTACTTTAAAAGAAAAAAATTAAAACCATTCCTTTCCTCACAACTCTAAATAAATTTGAGGCAATAAAATAAAGCTCACTGACTTTGGCAGTTGTTATTTTTGTCTGTTCAAAATAAGTCCTCTGGTCTCCTTTCTCCTGATATCAGAACCCCTCATTTTCATGGGCAGCCAACTACATGAGGGGGCGGGGGCTGCAGCGTAAACCTCCTTCCTTGACCTATCAATGGAACTGGGCATGTAACCTAGACTGACCATAATGACTGGTTCTGATAAGAACCCATGACCCAAATGGACTACTCAGATCTCCCCTAGGACTTTTACTGGTGCTATGAAAGATTATAACTGTAAGACGTATGTAAGCCTGGAATCACTAGAGGCCACAACTGAGAATAAATTCAGAGTTGTGAAATAGTGTAAAAGAGAAACAGTCGATGGCATGATTTGAATCCCTGTATATAGTTATACCTAATGCCAACTTGATCTTAGAACTTCAAATCATGAGCCAATAATTTTTTTCTGCTTAAACTAGTTTCCATTAGTTTCTATCATTTACAACCAAAAAAAATTTAACTGATACATTTTAAAAAATAAGTATATATGACATGAGTATATAGCTGTCCGGATACAGTGAACTGAAGTTAAGAAAGTGAGAAATTCCCACATCAATCAAATTTAATTCAGAGGCTCCCTTTTCCTTGGGGAGTAAGAAATCAACTTGGAGTAGAATGCAGATACTTACACAGGCATGTGCATTTTCAGCCTGAATTTCTAGTTCACTGTTTTTGAGCCTAATTCAAATCATATGTAGGAATTTCATGTTCTTGATTAGAACCTTTTGAAAACTGGCCCGAAACACTCACAGTCAGAAAACAGCCACCGCCAGAAGTGTCCTAACACAGTAAGTACTGGCAGCACAGTGCTGCACCACCGATCATTAGTAAGAAATCCCTTTCTCTCAGGCCAAGAGAGAAATGGAAATAAAGCAAATACTTTAGGGTTTTAATAAAGCAAAGTAGAAATAGTGGAAAAGGTCACTAGTTATTAACTTCATAAGCAAGTATAGATATTTGCCACAAGAAGATATTGCTGCAAGTACAGCTTTTAATAAAGCTGTTTTAATAAAGCAGAAAGAGAACCCATATAAATGTCATCAGTAACATAACTTCATAACCAATTTCAGATACGTGTCTTAAGAAGGCATTAGCCCAAATGTGGCTGTATAATAAAGGGAAAATTTGGAACAGCTCCTTTGATTATTTGTAAGCTTGTACTTACTTTTACAAAGACAAAAATCATCTTATAGAAACTTGACAGAGAAAAGTAAGTCTTAGAGATGAAAAATGGTCTCAAACATCCGTTGAGATTCAGAGAAGCATACTAGCTTACTCCTAGTCACACAGGTAAAACAGGTGAAGGTTAAACAGGAATGTGGGTTGTCAGATCTCAATCTACTTCTACTACCCCTGATTTGCCAGCCAGCCAAATATTCATAATAATAGAAGTGTAATCTTGCTTTTATGTAAGGTGGGGTTAAAGAAAGGAACTGGAACTTATGAGCAAACCACAAGATCTCCCCCCAATCATGGAAAGTAAATAATATGCCTGGCACATTTTCTGGAATGTTTCCTATTTTTCTGGCTTAAAGGAAGCTCAACAATTACTTTAAATACACTAACCTGGTCAACTGTAAGTAAATGCTCAGTGACGCTTTGGCAGCCTCCAGCATGTCGTCGTCTTGTTCTATGAAGACCCTAGACAGCCATTCACATGGGTTGTGTAATTGCAGAGAGGGCTGAAGGTTAGGCTTTAAGAAGATCAGTAACTCAGACATGAACCTCTGTAAGTCAACTTCGAAAAATGGAAATTTCAAAGTGTAGGTAACAGTTTATGAGTACATTGACATCTCAAGTGTCTAAAGTATCTTGAAGTATATTATCATAATTCATACCTTCAGAAAGTCCTATGAGTTAGGGTTTATCTCTATTTTGCAAATTAAGAAACTGAGGCTCAGGAAAACAGTGACTTAATAAATAGCATTCATTTAAAATATACAGATCACTTATTTTCCACAATTGCTAAATAACTACAATAACTCTGAGAACAAATGTTACTAGATTTCTTGCTAGAAGTGGTTCAATAAGTGAGCCAAAAAAACAGATCTGTTCACTGGCTACAACTGTTTATTAATAAAGACAACAATGCAACCAAACAACAAAAAAAATTTTGTCTTAAAAATAACAGAAAAATATCTTTGTTAAAGCATTAAAAGTATTACTAAACAACAACAAAAAAATCAAGATTCTGGGGAGTTTTGACTACAATTTAAAACTCCAAATTATATAACAGATGCCACCTAGTGTTGTAAATGATATTTGCAGAGAACAACAACTAATAAGTAGTTATTAAAAACTAAATGATATCCAAAGCTGTCCAGGGAAGCTGCTGCCTCTACTTCAAAGTTTTCATGGAAAGTATATGCTGTTTGTCTGAGACTTTACTATTTATTTGTGAAACAGGAGGACATGTTTTCCCCAATACCTATACTGACAATCATACTTTACAAGGCGTTCTCTAAACTTTTGAGTTAATTATGCAATATGTATCTTCTCACATATTCAACTTAATTTATACTTACCAATAATATATATTAAGAAGGTGTACTACTAAAATGAATGAAAATATCATTAAATACTAAAAACACTTGAATATAAATTAACATCTCCCACTTTGGGACTTATTTTTAAACCTAAGTTATTCATTGTGCTCTACACATTCAGTGTAGCCCACAGACTGTTCATGGCAATTTCTGTTCTCTCTCTTTGTTGGGGATATTTTTAATAAATTATAACCAGGAGAATATATAGTTTGAATTAGTGGAATTTATACTAGTCCTGAGATTTGATAATTATAAATTAATAATATATTACTTTGCATAAAAAGGAGTCTGGAGAATTACCTTTCATTTCATTCACAGAGGTGTAATTTTGAAACTTGATTTCTAAAGACTTCATTATAACTAAGCTTGCAGCTCTAAGGAACACATGATCTGGACCAGCGATATCTCCACATCCAGGCTGAACTTCATTACCTCCAAAGCAAGGCCGTTTTCCATGAACAGACCAGGTCTTCAAAAAGCCCAGATTCACAGTTTGCAAAACAGCATTAGCTAAAGCCAGTATGTCCACATCTAAATAGTGGTCTGGTGACGTCAAGACAAGCACAGATGCACGACACAGGTCTTCACCCACCTTACACAGAAGGCACTTTTTGATAAATATCATCAACTTCCTTTTGACAAAAGCCTGAATAGGCCAGGTAAGAATGTCTAGCACACAAGAAGGTTTCAAAAATAAAACCCTCTGGCTCCTGAAATGTAACTTCAGGTAGATTCTGGAGGCTATGAGAAGTTCAAGTAAGTCCAAGAAACTCATTAAGCTGTTTATTATCTTAGAAGGATCCTGGCAGTTTTCAAAATGCTGGGAAAATAAGGAATTGTAGAATACTTCAAAAGTATTGTCAAAAGTAGTCAGGAACTGCTTTAGAATTTCTGCAGTAATAGGAATAGTAATCATAAGCAACAGGAAAAACAAAGGCTTCTTAAAGTACAATTTCACAATTCAATTTTTATAAATACATTTTATAGGCTAAAAACATAAGATTTAGAATATTTATCCTTAACAAGAACAAATAATGATACACAGATCAATAACTAATAACTATGCTTAACATTCATTTTACAAATATAAATAGCATCAATCTATGCAAGGGATATATAATAATGAAAAATTTAAATTTTTCCACGTAATTTTTTTTCTTTTAAAAGAAATATTCTTCTTTTAAAAAATATAGAGGGAGATTCTTTAGTTTTTCATACTTCAAGAGAAATCATATATAAATTTTATTCTTCATTATAAACATAATGTTTCTGGGAGCAAGGTGGCAGTCATTTATGGGACAATGTAATCATACCTGTTTTTTCAGAACATGGGTCTTTAAAGATTTCTTTTATTACAGCTATAAGAATCCAGAGGCAATGTATTACTTCATTACTCTCAGAGTATTCAGAAAGATTTTTTTGGCAAAAAACAATCCAGGAACTACTTAATGTTATCTACAAGTGAGAAAACAAAAAAAGGGAGTAAAAAGAATTAAGATGTGTTATATGCATGTGCCGACTCCCCACAATGAATCCAATTGTTATGTAAAAGCAGTACTAATAAAAATATTTTTAAAAAACAGTATTTTCTTTAGTTACAAATTGCCTATTATATACAATACAATACACAACACTTGTCTATTTGTTTGCCTTAGAAAAGCATGATAGAATTTGGTAAAATAAGAAGGAACAGAAATATCCTAATATTCTTTAAGTCGAGAAATTCAACATGCCATAAAAATATCAAAAGGAAACAAGAAAGTACTAGCAGTGTTATTTATAGATGGTATAATAAAATATAATTATTTGTTCTTTATATTTTGCTCCATTTCCCAAATATTTCACTATAAATAACAACTTGTACATTCAGAAAAATGTTATTTTAAGACAGAAAGAACTAATTATAGCAGAAAAAAAGTCAGCAGATGCTCAGACTTGTTCATTAATTTGTTCAGAGGTTAAAAAAAAAAATCTGACTTTGAATTTGTTCATATTTTTTGTTATGCTAAGGACCATTCATAGAATTTATTTATATCAAACCTCCGAAAATGAGCTTGATCTCAAGTAGAAGCTCCTAAACCTTTTTTGGGGGAAGGTATACTACTGACTTGAGAATACAAATAAAGCTGTGGCCTGAAACTGACCTCTTCTGTTAAGAGTCTGACTATTATGATTTACAATACATTTAAGACTCTAATTCTTGAGACAAGCAACTATATTATTTTATTCTTACAGTTTTGTAGATTTACACATCACTATGTGAGTAAACATTTTATTAATACAAATACAGATATTCTTTGCTTAACAACCTACCTGTTTAACAACTGTTCTGACTTACGACCCACCTTTTTTGTATAGTTCTGTACAACTCGATAGAGCCTCAATGTCTTTTTGTTGTACAGTATACCTTGTTTACAAAGTATCATAATTTTTGCTGACTGTACTGTACAGTACAGCACTGTAGCTTGATGTTCTGTTATACATTACAGTACTATCTTTAAGAGTTAGGCAAATAAAAGCAAAGTCATCAAATTGGAATTTCCTTTGACCATTTCTTTGTTCTGAATATTGTAATGTACATACTATATACAATTCTTCATTTAGTCACTAACTCAAATAATGACTTAGTTGCATAGTCACATGACCACAACTACTCATCAAATGAGGAATGTCTGTATCTAAAGGAGCATAATCAAATGTCAAAGAGGAACTTTAAAGACACCAGAAGAGAAACAGTAGTATAATCTGATTACTTATCTTACCTTTTCTTTCAACTGGAAATAGAGAAGCGATGCCAGACACTTTGCAGCCATATGAGACAACAATTTGTCTGAATTTTGGACCATGTCAATCTATAAAAAAAGATATATTTAATCACTACAGTTAAATGTTTTAGAACTCTTACTTTACATATCTAAACCTTAGAAAAGGAAAATGGATTACCAATTTAGAATCCACCTCAGAGGACTGTAAAAGAATTTTAGTTATATCTCTGTATTTCTCCTGTGCATGGATCTCAGTTTCCAAAGACATTATCCTGGATATCATCACATGGATCACGGTTAACTGAAGGAGCTTCAGGTCTTGGGCACCGCTTGCCTGAGAGTTTCTCTTCATACAAACCCCTGCTCCAGGAATGGCAATCACCTCGACAGGGGGTGACTGCTGCCTGTCCTGCACCCTATCAGTGTCTGGCCATTCTATGGAAAGGGCTGTAGTGCACTCTTGATCTGAAAGTGCCAGGTTGAGATAAAAGACATACTTGTGGCTGTCACTTTCAAGTGTAGCTCCAAGAAGTACCTTCTTATACAACTGATCTAAAACCTCATAGAAAGCGTTCATTTTGATTTTGAAAATGTGTCTTCTATGAAGGCTGACAACTCCACGTTGTAAATACTGATATTTCAGAGAAGTGATGACTCTCTAACATGTTTCTTCAGTGAAGCCTAAAATAGGAAAAATAGTTTTTAAAATTATAAATAGTACATACATATTATAAGAGAAAGACAATGTCTCTGTCTCAAGTTAAAGGTAAAGCTGATTGCTGAGTTTCTAAAATGGAAAATTGTAATAAGAATAAGACCATAATTATGAAATGTATGCTTTCCATACAGATTTAAGAACATAAAATTATTTTAATTTTATCATAGCAGAAATGACAGCATTCCTCTAATGTTTTTCAGTGGTGTGCCCAGGTTTCTCAACCTTGGCACTGTTAACATTTGGAACCAGGTTATTCTTTAGTGGGAAAGATTTCTTAGGAACTGTAAATGTTAAGCAACACTCCTGACTTCTACCCTCGATGTGTCAAAACAAAGCACTCAGCCTCATACACCAAATTTTAACAACGAAAAATGCAGATTTTGTCAAATGTTCCTTGTGTGGAAAATCATCCCAGTTCAGGGCCACTGGGATAACTCAAATTCAATAACCTTTACCTCCAATGTGAAGATGAAAATCTGAAATTAGACTGCTATATGGTCTAACTATATTATGGCTACTGCTAATTAAGTTCCAACTTAAAAATTACATGATCATAGATAGAACCCTCAGTCATCACCTGTATCACTAAATAAAATTTTAAAATGCCATCCCAAGAGTCAAGATATGAAGTAAAAATAATCAAATTTAGACATTCTGCTTGCTCCAGACTCCTCTCATGTGATGATGGAGAACAGAATGGGGGAGGGGGGATATTTAGGGCCAGACAGGGCTTTTAAGGTAGAGAATATGGGCATTGACTGGTGGATCGGTATCAGAGGAATTGTGTGGTTACTATAAAGACTTTGGTATAAATGATTACTGACTCTTCTGTGAATAGAAAACTAGGGCTTTTGGGCATGATCTGGTCCTATGGGGGGCTCTGCTCCTTTCATTGCCTTTGTACTATTTTATACCTTTTAACTATAGATGACTGATAACAATGCAAATAATTCTATATATAGACATAGAAATAATTGCATGGTAGAGGAAGGACACACCCCTCCAGTGTGAAAAGCCAGTTTTGCTTCCATTTGTAAATACTGTAATATTCCTTTACTCCATATAAAAATTCATGATTCTCTTACTTCTTGAAATATGTTGTGACATCTGCTTGATCCTTTATGAATTAATGAATTAAATAACATTTTTGATATGTGTTCATTTTTTATGGGTCATGGTTTTGTCCAGTTAAATGCTGTCTTTAAAATACCCAGAGATTTCTCTGTTCTACCAGGACCCAGGTGTAAAGGCCCTACCCATCTCTAATGCCCTGCCCAGAGGAAGAGACTTAGAAGGCTGGGCCTTGCACTGGGCCTCACTTCCACTGCATGGACCACTAACCCGGCCTCGGTCTTAGATCTCTCTCCACTGGCTTCTTCCCCCTACTTAGCTCCTAAGGAATTCTAATCACTGATCACCCACCAGGCAAAGATACCCTGGTTTAGCCCTCTGCTGCAGAAATAAATATTTAGAAACCTATAAACTTTAAAGTTAGGAACAAAACTTTTGAAAGTCTTCTCTGAATCCTATTTTCCAGTTGAAGTGTGCATCCAACATGATTTATTTTTTTAATTGTTTAAATTTTGTTTTGTTAATTGTTTTTTTCCATTAAGTTAATTGGTACATTTTAGGTATATAATAGTTACATTCCTCATTGGCATCTTGTATCTTTACATGATGTATCTTGGTTCTTATTTTTTCCCCATTCTCCTGCCCCCCCTTCATCCCCTCCACCTTTCCCTACAACATGATTTATTAACACAGATAATCAAAAACTTTGCTCCAAATGTTAAACTTTTCTGTACTCCCAGAAGTAGCAATGGTTGAGAAGCACTGCACCCTTCTGTATTCCAAGAAAGAACTAATCAGAATGCCCATCTCTCACTCATGTTCTCCAAAACCCTACTGTTTCCCCCTCCTTTTTGAGAGATTTCCCACTAGTGAACATTCTCCTTATTCTAATAGCCTAAATAAAATCCACTGAAGTGTCTGGCATGTTCTGTCTGTCACACATTAGAAACTACGGGAGAGAAAAAGGGCTAGGAGAAGTAAAAACAATACATTTTTGATATGTGTTCATTTTTTATGGGTCATGTAAATGTACCAAGATCCCACTCCCCAAGATGAGTGGAATCATTATGTACTACAAACGTATTGATAAAACATTAAAAAATTTTAAAAACTGTTTTCACATTCTACTTCGAAGTCCAAGTCCATTGTACTTATTTTTCTTTCTGCTTTAGTTGTTACAATAACATTTCTTCTCAATGAAGAGAAAGGTTATAAACCTTTCCAAAAAAGGCTAAAAGGTTATAAACTTTTAAGAAATACAGGGTTGGGGTTGTAGCTCAGAGGTAGAGCACCTGTAAATACAGGGCTGGGGTCCCGTCCCCAGCACTGGAAAAAAAAAATAGAGATGCAAATGGCTAGGGGCCAGTTGGATAACAAATTAAAGATAACAGGTGTTAAAGGCTGCCTTTATTGTGACCAAATACAATTCTTTAATTACATTCTCTTTAAAAATATCTGTGTGGGCTAAAGAAATATGCACTGAAACAAATGTCTGTGGGTGGATAGCCTGGTGGAAACTGAAAACTACTTTTTGTTTTGTATTTAGCAATTGTGGTATTAAATGAAAGGACAAAACACTGAAAAACCAAGTCAGGGGAATGAACTGACCACTTTTTTTCTGAAGTGGGTGCTCTGAGGTTGATACACGGCAAGCTGCTTTCCCAGGCTGGCCTGGAGGAAGCTGTACCCTTCAGACACCAAGCTTGGAAGAGACACGAACAAGTAAGTGTCTGGGGAAGGGCGCTCAGGGTGCCGGAGGCTTTGACAGCATCTGTGCACGTGAAGAAGAGAGGTTGGTCCAGCCTAGAAAGAAGCAAAGAATTGGAGAGGTTTAATGAGGACAAGTGAATGAGCAGTGCTCTTCTTGGTGTTTTTAGAACATGCTTCTGGGCAGAGGAGAGCAGACTCCATACCCAGTGGCCCAATGGGGTCTCCAACAATTACAAAGACAAGTGCTGTCCTTGGGATTCAAGGGGGGACTGGTTTCTGGGCCGCCAGGAAAACAAGTCTGCAGATGCTCAGGTCCCTTACATAAATGGCGTAGTATCTACAGCTAACCTAACTCCATACCCGTGTATTTTGAATAATCTCTAGATGACTTCCAATACCTAATATGATATAAATACTGTGTAAATAGTTGTTACATTGTACTGTTTAGGGAATAATGATAAGAAAAAAGGCCTATACATGTTCAATACAGAGGCATTTCTTTTTTTGGATTTGATTGAATTCGCAAACACGGACCTCGTGAATGGAACCTGACAGTATAGAAGTTTATCTGAAGTTGCCTTTATTTGTTAAATACTATGAACTATTTGAATTTTGCATTCTATGCCTGGTACCTAGAATCATGTGTATTTTATTATAAAAATAATATATTTTCCACCTACCTTCATACAAAATTGATGCTTTATGAATAATAACCGCTAAACTTTACTCAGCATCTACTGTGTACCAAACACGGTTCTCCACAAGTCTTTATGTGAACTTCACAATCTTTTTTTTTTTTTCTACCGGGGATCAAACTCAGGTCCTTGCGCTTGTGCAGCAGGCTGCAAAACCACTGAGCTAAATCCCCGGCCCTTCACAATCTTATGTGACAATTATCCTACCCATTTTACAGATGGGAAACTGAGGCGCAAAGAGGTGAAGTCACAGAGCTAGTTAAGAAATGGCAGAGTCACAATTTGAAGCCAACAAATTCAGAGTCTTGGCGACCCCAAGTGAAGGGCAGCAGGTGAGGAGAACATCTCAGATAAACTTCCTACATGTAAACAGAAAGCACACAGCCCAGTCTCTGACCTTTGATTCTCCCATAATGAAAAACAGAGTAACAGTCCTCAGGACCATTTTCACATATGCAAAATCTAAAATTAAGAATGTCTATGTAAATAGGGAAGGGTGGAGGGGGTGAAGGGCATACAGGTAATAGGGAAAAAATAAGAACCAAGATACATCATGTACAGGTACAAGCACCGAATGATAAATGTAAACGTATTGGATACCTAAAATGTACCAATAAAAGAAGTTAAGCAAAAAAAAAGAATGTCAGTGACTATGAAGCCTTTTTTCAAAAGACATTCGGCAACTAAAGGTTGAAACATTTAAGTGAGGATGCTGAATTTTTTGTATTAAATTACTTTTAGTAGCTTCACCAAACTTACCAACGCCTCATGAAAAGCCAAACTACTCACAGGTTTTATTCTGTTAGTTTATCAATAGTTGAAGAGTACTATAAATGAAAGACTACGACTGTGGTTTTACTTCATTTAAATAATTTCAATCTTCTCCAATAATGAACTCAAACTAGGTCATGGTCATAAAACTGACAATCAAGCTTTTAGAAAAAAAACATAAGAGAAAGTGTTCAAGCATAAAACTATTAGCCTTGATCCTAAAAACATGATTTCTAAATATAAAAACTGATAAACTGGACCTCAACAAAATTAAAAAGTTTTTCTTTACAAAAATTTTATTAAGAAAATGAAAAGACAAGCTACAGATTGAGAGAAAATTCTGCACTTGCAAACTGTGTATCTAACCAATGGCTAGTATCTAGACTATTTAAAGAATGCTCAAAACTTAACAAGAAAAAAATGATTGAATTAGGGCTGAGGATAGTGGCATACGCCTGTTATCCCAGATATTCAGGAAGCTGAAGTAGGAGGATCTCAAGTTTGAGCCCAGCCCAGGCAACTTCCGAGACCCTGTCTCAAAATGAAAAACGGGGCTAGGGATATAGTTCAGCAGTAGAGCATTCCTGGGCTTGATCTCCAGTACTACATATGCAAAATAATTTAATTCCAAACAGGTAAGACACTTGAGCAGACATTTCACTGAAGAGGATACAGAGATGTCAAATAGACACATGCACAGATGTCTAATCACATGAGCTATCAGGGAAATGCAAATGAAAAGTACAGTGAAATACCATTATCAAAAAAGCTAAAATAAAAGTTAGTGACACCAGATACTGACAAGCAGGTAGAGAAACTAGATTTCTCTCACAATACTGGCGGGAATGTAAAATAGTACAGCTACTCCAGAAAATGGACTGGCAGTCTCTTAAAAACTAAATGTTTCTACCACACGAATCAGTAATTGACACTTGGCATTTACTCTAGAAAAATGAAGAGCTATACACCCTGAAACCTGTATATAATGTCCATCACTGGGTTAAGGGTTAAACAAATTCTGGCACATTAATACCATGCAAAACTTTCCAGCCATGGAAAGGAAAGAAGTACTGATACATGTAACAATGTGGGTGGCTCTCAAGGGGATTATATTGAGGGGAACAAGCCAATCTCAGAAGGCTGCACACTCACTGTATGATTCAGTTATGAAATGATGAAAATAAGGAATGAAGAATAGGTTAGGGTTTGCCACTTGGTAGGAAAGCGTCCTTCCACTCAGGAGGCACAGTTAGGGAGGTTAAGCATGGGGACCCTAGAATAAAGGAACTGGTAGGGGACACACAAACCTATATGTATGACAGTACTGCACATAACTAAGTATACATCTAAATAAATGAATAGAAGTAAAATGAGAAATCTGAAAAGCATTGGTGGATTGTGCTGATGTCAAGATCCTGACTGTGATACTGTACTGTACTAGTTTTACAAGATGTTGCCATGGGGGGAACTAGGTAAAGGTTACACAGCACCCCTCTGAACTGTATTATTTCTCGCACCTGCTTGTGCGTCTAGAGTTGCCTCAAAGTAAAAAACAAACCACAATAATTTCACCTATAGATATTTTTTCTTAGCATTAATATACATAGGATTTCATTAATATCCATGAAAATATTACTGAAAACGTATTGTTATGGTTTGTGTTTAGATATCCCCCCAAAGCCTCATGCAGATGAGGTGGGACTTTTTCAGAGGTAGTTGAATCTGGAATGTGTGATGCTGGGGTCAAAGGGCGTGTGATTACTAAAATACTACACATGAGTGATTAGTTTGGCACCATCCTAATCCTAGTAGTCAGAATAAGACAAAAAGGGGCAGAAAGATGCTATTAAACTCCCTTGTCACCTTTGCTGCCTTCTGTGCACCACGTTGCTTCTGCTCTGTGATGCCTGTTTGTCAACCCTGCCTTGAAGTCAGCTGATTATGGACTGAAACTTATGCAAACTGTAAGCCAAATAAATCCTTTCCCCTCAAACTTTGGATGTCGGCTATTTTGTCTCAGCAATGAGAGAAAAGTTAACTAACACACATATCACATGAAATTTGATCTTAAAAATCTCTAACCAAAAATGAAACAGAATGGTATCTAAAAATGTTAAAAATATTTTAATTCTAAGTCTACTCATTAAAAAATACTCTTATGACTTAGTTTCAAAATTGCCAAAGAACAAGTGGCTAGAAATTTAACTTTCCTTTATATGTGGTGTAAAAAGTGTTACTATCTCTTTTCTTAAATTCAGAAAACAGAAAAATATCTATCTTCATGGCCAATAATGAATAGGCTTCTGCATGCAGTTTGCTAATAGACTCAGTGTTGGGTTTCAGCCTCATTCAACAACAGGTTCCTATCTGATCACAGCCTAAGAGGATACTTAATCCAGATGCTATGATACTTAAAGCAGAAGTTGAGCACTCCAAAGAAAGGCTGTCTTCCAGGATTCTGGTTCCCTCCTCCATCAAGATAGCATAAAGTTTGCCAGAAAGAATAACATGGGTCTGTTTTGTCTCTTGAAGAGGACCTCCTTCCCTTGCGAAAAGAGGGGTAGGTATCTTCCAAACAGCACACCATGCGCTGTTATCTTCCCTCCCCTGGCTAGTTTCACTCTTCACCTTTGTCAGTGCCCCAGCTGGACCCACTAGGAGATGTGGGAGCTGGTGGGAGAAAGGGGAAAGGGAAGAGGAGGAGTATAGATGGGCCACTCTCTCAGTGCCTGGAACTAAGGCTCTCCTTACCGTCAGTTACTAACTCCTGGGTGCTGCACTACTTGAAGATTTCCTTAAAGTGTTGGTGCTCAAACATTGGCCAACATCAGTATCAACGAGACTGCAAAAGCAGACTGCAAGGCCATAACTGAGGCCTTTCAGATATGATCTTCCTTGATAATTTGGATCTTAAATTCCCAGATTATTGCTGAGACACTGAGAACTCAAACACTGTCAAGTGTTTGTAAATTGTCTTCCTATTAAACTCACCCTGGGATTTTGACAATGGCCAGGAATTTTATTTATTTATTTTAGCATGAAAGAAAAGGCTGGCAATTCAGTTACAGATACAACACTTAATATTTAAAAATGTTTTCCTATTAAAGTGGTATCTCCATAATAGCCTGGAATCTGAAGTCAAATGGCTCCACCACACACTAGTCACCACGGGGGCAAATTACCCTCAAAGCTTCAGTCTTGAAGCTTCAGTCTCCCTCAGTGCTCACGGGCACAAGGGTGGTGCGCAGCTCACATGATACAGGGAAGGTTAAGTTAAATGCAGGTATTTGTGAAATATCCACTCCAGGGTCTGCCCAGCAAGCTTTCTTTGTACTTCCTTTGCATTGCTATGTATGATGTAAAATTGTTTTCGAGAAATGAATGAACATGGGTTTTTCTGAGAAAGATACAATCCTCTTTCCCTGTTTTGTAAGGAAATGAAGTAAAACACTGTACTGGGCATCTGATTCTTGATAAGGAATGCAGAAAGCACCAAAAACAGATATGAGGCCTTGGAGAGGGGGCCAGGGCATGATCTCAAAGATGGGAAACAGTGCAAAAGCAAGAGGTCACAGTCATCCAAACTCCTGATAACGTGACCAGGCCCCTTCTAGTTTATCTTTAATAGGGCAGATGCAGGTATCAGCAAATCCAGTGCTGCTCGATAGATCATAAAGACCCTATATTTGTTTTAGACAAGTGATGAAGTAGTGTTGTTCTCTGAGCCTGGAAAAACAGTAAGAGTGTAGCATTTAACATAAACTTAATCAATAGAAAATACTCACATGTTCCTTTCCCGGAGAGCTTTATTATTTGACCACTCCAAGGAAAACTTTTCTAATATTGCACAGATTGGTGCTGGGCATTAGAATAATAGTTTGGGGCTTAGGATTCTGGGGATGTAGCTTAGTGGTAGAGTGCTTACCCAGAAACATGAGGCCCTGGGTTCGATCCTGAGCACCAATCCCCACCCCCTCAAAAGTCATAGTTGTAGTACAGCAGAAATCTTGGCGAGGATCTAGACCAGTGTTCATAAACCCTAGCATCAGAATTCCCTGGAAGACTTCTTAGAACACAGATGGCTGGACGAACCCCCAGAGATTCTGATTTCTTAAGTCTGGGGAAAGCCCAAGAACTAGAAGAGAGATTACACTTTGTGAACCTCTTTCCAATTTACTTGATTTTATTGATGAGAAATCTGAGCTTACTAGGTTAATATCATATTGTATTAGTGTGAGCACTTGTGTGTGTGTGAGCACTTTTTAAAAACTGATCCTGTAATCTCAGCACTTAGGAGGCTGAGGCAGGAGGATCATCGCAAGTTTGAGGCCAGCCTGGGCTACATAGTAAGTCCAAGGTCAGCCTAAACTACATAGCAAGACCCTGTCTTAATAAACCAAAAACAACAACAACGAAAAAAACTCAAACCTGGAAAACCTCTACTGTATTCATAAAAAAGCAAAACTTCTTTATTGTTAGTTTCTAAAATATGAGTCTGTTTTATTTTATTTTTTTTTAAATTTATATATTAATTGGTACATTTTAGGTATACAATACATTTACATTTATCATTGAGTGTTTGTACCTGAACATGATGTATCTTAGTTCTTATTTTTTTCCCCATTACCTATGTGCCCTTCACCCCCACCACCCTTCCCTATTTACATAGACTTT